TCCCCCCCCCCCTCCTTTTTCATATGTCTATAATTTTCCTTTGTTTTATCTTCATTATATATATATATATATATTTATGTAGTAGGAAAGATATTAGATTTAATATTGGATGTTTCTCTGATGCTTACGTTGTTGCTGAGAACAAGTAAAATGACCTACAAATGAGATTTTTCAATATTCAATAAAACTCCTAAGTACAGTTCACATTCCAAGGGACACTTTATTCTGCACTCTGTTGCTTATTGTTGCAATAAATAAAGTTGTACGAATTAATACATGTTTGCTTATATTTTTCTAGGACTTCATAGGTTGTGCATGGGGAATTGAGCATATTTCTCTAGTCATGGTATCCGCAGGATGTGCGATATGTCTGTTTTCCGGTTTCTATGCTTTGGTAGAAAAATATGTAGGTAGATATGTATTTATCGCAATTGCTGCAGCTCTCAACTTTACTTTGCTCGTTAGAATGCTATATTGGATCCCGGATTCAACTGAGCCGACAATGATGTTTGTCGCTGCTGCTATGTGGGGAGCTATTATAGGAATTATGTGGTGCCAAATAAAAGGTAATTGATATATATATATATTCAAAACGTAGAGAAAACACGGAAAAAATTACGGAACAATGAAAAAAAGGGGAAAAGAAGAAAAATAATAATAAACCGTGAGAAAAAGCGTTGAAAATTATATATATATATATATAGCAAAGAGTTTTCCACTCTGCAAAAATCAGAGATATGTATGCAATAAAAATTAGATTTATGACATACTAGAAAAGCAAAAAAATTACTGTGCAGAACTACAGGGTCGAAGAAAAAAGGTTTGGCATTCGAAAACAGTATCAATTAATTAACAATTAAGTGGTTAATAAAATTTAAAAAAAATACTAATAGTAACATGAAATATTAGTTCAAAAAATTGTAAATAGTTAGACACGAACAACCAACACCAAACACGAACCCATAGTCAAATTATTGGGAAGTCACTAAGAGAGGGAACTGCTCATCATCCACCATCACAACAAATCACAATTTGAATACCTCTTTCAATTAAAAAAATTACAATATTAATAAAATAAAAAATTAAGTTACAGAAAAAATATATACAAAGAATTGTAAATAAAATCACTGGTATTGCCTGACAAATACTACAGGATCCCGATGTTCCGCGGATATGTGATGACCAGCATCACACACAACGATACCCAAATAACACTCATCACACACATATCACTAATTTAATTACAAAAAAATTATTAGAAAAATTATTTGTTTCTTAAATTATAAGGACAAGCCTTAGGGAGAGTGATATCACTATCATTTACAACAGTGGAGGTATCCAAAGAGGGATGAAAAAGCAAATTTTACTTCCTATAGGGACATAGACGTAAACGGTCTATATGAACAGTTAGTTTAGGTGCATTTGTATTGTCCAAAAGTTGGATTACATATTCCACATCATTAAATTTTGACAAAATAGTAAAAGGACCATCAAATTTTGGTTTAAAAACATTAGTATGTTTTAAGTAAACAATATCACCAATATCAAGTGATCTTAACTTGACTTTTGCACTTTGTCTAGAATTTTGTTTGACTTGTGCCAGTTCAGAATTATGGTATGCATTTTCATATACAATATTAAGTTCATTTAAGGTCTCTACTAAATAATGAGACTTATCCAAATGCACAGGTTCAACACCCGCTTCAAAACAATCAAAAATTAAAGCCAAATTACGACCAAAATGAAGTAAATTAGAGGTGAATTTTGTTGAAGAGTGTGTTGATCCATTATATATATTCTGGTGAATTAATAAGCTGGTTGCAAATGATACACCTTTCTCATGTAAAGTTAAAACCGAAGACTTAATAGCTTGGTTAATACGTTCACTCATTCCCTTTCCCTGAGGATGAGCTGCACTTCTATGGGCTAATTTTATGACTAACTTTTTATTGATTAATTCAAAACCTCAGCTTTAAACTGAGTGCCTAGATCTGTTAATAGATATAACACCCTACCATAATGAGAAATATAATTCATTAAATGTTTCGAAACAGTCTCAGAGGTTAAATTGACTAATTGATTTAAAATTAAATGTCTAGAAAAATCATCTATGAAAGTTAAAATATATCCACAATTTTTAATGGGTCCGACAATGTCCATTGAGACAAATTGTCCAGGCCTCTGAGGTAACCACATTGATTTTAAAGGAGCAGGCTTGCTCGCTGACTGTTTATGTTTAATACATAATTCACAAGACTTAACATAATTACAGGTATCACTGTAACAACTTTTCCAAAAATATCTATTAGACACAAGCTCATACGTCTTTTGAATACCAGTATGAGACACATGACAAATGTTTAACACTTTAGATTTTAATGAATTTGGAACTACAATTCTGTGTTTATGAGGAAAAACCTCAGTTGCATACATTAATATACCATTATTTACAAAGAAATGTTCAGACTTAGATTGATTAACTAAAGTGGAATAGTTTAAAGGAGAAATAATTTCCTGAATATTTTGATCTTTACATTGTTCAGATTTAAATGTGTCTAAAGAAATTTCAAGATGGGAGTCATTATTAGTTAAAGCATGAATTACATGATCTTCATTTATATCAGTGAAAGGTAAAATTAATTCAGAATCATTAACATTTAAAGCAGGTTGACAAAACTTAGGATCAGGAGAACGACTAAACCAGTCGGCTAACACATTCTCATGACCAGGTATATGTACAAACTCAAAAGTATATTCACTTAAAGCAAGCAGCCAACGTGTGATAATATCAGTAGGTGATGTAACCTTGCGATAATGTTTAAGAGGTTTACTATCACTCAGAATTGTAAAATTTTTGTCATAGAGATAAGATTTAAATGCTGTAACACCCTTAAAAATGGCATATAACTCAAGTTTTATGGCGGCATAGTTGCGTTCTGATTTAGATAAAGCCTTACTAAAGAAAGAAACAGGGCGAAGAGATCCTTCGTGTTCCTGCATCAAAACAGCAGAAATGCCTAATTTACTCGCAAAAGTATTTAAAAAGAAAGGTTTCCTGAAATCTGGTAGCTGAACAAAAGGTTTCGAAAAAAATGCACTCTGTAATGCATCAAATGCCCGCTGTTGTACGTCAGTTCATTTAAATTTAGATTGCTTTGTAGCAACATTAGTCAAAACAGCAATTAGTTGAGCAAAATTTGGGATTAAATGGCGATAAAAGCCACAAACACCTATGAACTTTTTAACTTGCTTGGCATTACGAGGAGTAGCAAATGAAGTAATTTTGGCTATATTGGATGAAGTAGGGGTTATACACTTATGGGAAATTACAAAACCTAAATATTCAACGGAATCTTTAAAAAATTGACATTTATTTGGAGCTAACGTCAAGTTGAATTTGATTAAAATCTTAAGTAAGGCTGAGATTCTATCTGTCATTTTCTCAAATGAATTTGCTCCAATTAAAAAGTCATCTTGGTATGCATGGATACCTTTAACACCTTCAGTATTTATTTCTTCAATAATTAGATCTACTAGAGCCTGAAAAGTACTCTCTGCCGTTTTGAGGCCAAACACGAGTCGTCTATTAGCAAAAGAACCGAAAGGAGTAGTAAAAGTTAGTATGTCCTGTAGGTGTTCAGGAAGCATAACCTGCCTATAAGCTTCACGAATGTCACATTTTGTAAAAAATTTATATGCAGAAATTTCATTAATTATAGTGCTTATTTTTGGTAATGGATAGGTGGAGCTTTCTACCACTGCATTAAGCAATCTTAATTCCAAAGCCAAACGATATTTTGGTTTACCCTGACTATTTTCTGAGTTTTTCTTTTTGACCAAAACTAGTGGAGCAGCCCAATGGCTAACATGCCTATGAATAATTCCGGCTTCCACTAATTCATCTAGCTCTTGTTTAATGCCATCTCTTAAAGCATATGGAATGTCAAACGGTAAGGTCTTTATTGCATTATTATTTGTCAAAGTTAAAGAGGGAACAACACGATCTGTACAACACGATCTGTACAACCAATGGTTTTAATAGTTTTTGAAAAAGGCAGCAAAATTTTCTAATAAAATGTTTTGAAGGATTAATTTCTGATCAGTATCTAAATGTGCTAAATCAAAATCAGTAGGTTTTAGTTCTTCTTTTCTTAAATTTAAAATATCCTGAGAAGCAGTAATTAAATTACACTGTTCAATATTATTAATCTCATTCACATTTACCTTATTACTATCATTACTATTTTTGACAACAAAATTATATCTTATATTACCTATATTCAAACCTTTATTTAAGTGAACAGTGTTATCAGAATTATTTAGAATTATTATATCAAAAGAATTATTGTCAATAACATTAATAGAGGGATGAATTACAATATTTGTATTATAAGTAGGTGTGAAGTACACCTCTTTATTTGTTTGTTTATCAAAAGAATCAATTCTTAAATGGGCAATAGCAGTCTCGCCTGGCTCGATATTGAGCTTATTCCTCAAAACAACATGCACCTGTTCATTATTGTTATCATTACAAGTTAAGTTATCAAAAGTATTTAATGGAATGCTAAAATTACTAAATTGTGCAGATTCATGTTTATAATTTATAAGAACATTATGTTTTTTTTAAGAAATCATACCCGAGAATGTCCTGAAAGGAATTACTCTTAATGTCTGCAACAAAAAATTTGTGTCTAAAAAACTGGTTATTGATTTTAAAGGAAATTTCAGCACAAGTTGTAAATTGAAGTTGAGAGATGACAGTTCTAATTTGGACCTTTCTTGATAAAAATTTTACTTTGTTATTAGTCCTGATTTTATTGAAAGTATCTAGAGTCAACAATGACACTGACGAACCACTGTCCAACAAGAAATTAGCTTTAACGTTACTAAAATTAGATGCAATGGTTGGAAGACTAATCTCATCTGACACAATATTTATGTGCTCAATATTTTCTTTATAGTCACAATTAGTTAAAAACTCCCGAATGGTTACGTTTGAATTATGCATAGATTTTGACATGAAATCTTTGATATCAAAAATTTTGGATGGTTTGGTGGATGAGGAGACCGGGCCATCCCTTACTGCCTCATTCTGAGCAGGGATAGGTGGTGGTGGATACTGCGGAGCAGTGAATCGGGGAGGAGCCATATGGAACTGAGGCGGAAAAGAATGCATCGCCAAATTTTGGCCCATTGAATGTTGTCTTAAATGTCTGAGATACGTCCGACACACACTTATCATATGCCCAGACCTATTACAGAAAGCACAGTTAAGGTTTGGAGTTGGGCGAGGTTGTTCATGTCCAACCCGATCCTGGTTCTGTACAGGGTTATATAAAAGGGGACATTGTTCAGTATTATGGGACTCCTGACATATCCTGCAGTTAGACTGCATAGTCTCAATTCTTGTGGTCAGCATTTCGAGCTGTTTGGAAATTAAGGTGAGCTGATCAGGTGCAGCAGAAGCACACTGAGTCACCGCATGAGCTGCGACTAAAGGAGTAGCTGAGCCAGCTAACGATTGCTGAATGGTCATGATGTGGTGAGCTTTTTTCACCATTTCTCT